TCCTCATTTGACCAGCCCTCTCATTGTTTGTCCATTCTCTCTTTTCTTTTCCATACCAATAGGGGTGTATATATATATACCAACAGGAGGCAACTCGGTGGTCTCCATCTAATCTAGATCATCAAGCGCACACAACAGGAGGCCACCCTGCGGGCTCCAATCAAATCTAGATTATCAGGTGCGCAACAACAAGTAGCCATCCTGTGGTTAATGATAACGGTAACGGTAATGGTAACGGTAGGTACACACGGGGGCGCCGATCTCCCATTTACTTGGCCGACGGTCCAACCATCCTCACAAACCCATGGTGACCTACTTCATCCCAACTCCACACAAACAAAGCATAGCATTATCACAACGCAATTAATCAAACATTGCAAGTAGATGCAAACATATTGATCAGTTGAACATATCGTAACGCAATGCACAATTAGACATCCATACTCAAATGCAAATAAATGAATAAATAGTATTAACAATAAACAACAATGATAAAATAAATAATAATAATAAACAATAATAATGAAAATAAATAAATAATTGAATAATTAAATGAATTTTATCTAAATAAGTAATTAATCAGAGTACTTTATTTATAGAATTTATTAAATAAACTTATTAATTATATTGTTAATTAAAACTATCTAAGTTCTATTCCGAAATTTCCGCAGCATCTCCCTAAAATGGATTATCTACCTGCTAAATATCAAGCAATATTATCATCCATCAACCATTACACACACAGCCCATCCATCCACAGCCCATCCATCGGGCAATCAAATAAATTAATTTCCCTTCCTCCTTCAGAAACAACAATGTCAACATTCAACTAATAATTCAAACATGTTCCATGCATATTTCAATCATTCCTGCTTCACATCAATATAATTAGCCACTTTAGCTGAATACCGAATAAATGAAATCGTTTATACATACATATACAAACAAATCTTATACTGTTAAGTTAGTTAATTTCATATAATTCTTATTCCAAATACATATACCTTTAATAATCGTATGCAATTATAATTCATAAACTCTTTTATTTTCTTGATTATTAACAAGGATCTCATCTCATAATTGAATTTAATGATCTACGAATCATCTTCCTCACCATACATGATCATAGCTAACAAACCCATTTTAATCGTCTATCAAATATAAATAAGCATTTATATATCAACCAATATAGAAACTTGGAAATATACTCACTTATATATTTTTGTTGTTCTAAAACAATGCAAAGTCTAAGGTCATTGCTGCCAAAATACAAAAATTCATAGCTCTTCTATACTAAAATCATAGATTACGCAACAACTAACCCACCTTGCAAAAATTGAACTTACAACCTCATTCTTAGCTTTGATTAGTCAAAATTTATAAGGATCAATTTCATAACAGCTGTTTCATAACAGCTGTCAATTCGCAAAAGAATTAAGTTTTTCTATCTCAAAATCATGGATCACACCAACTAACTAATTCCACGCAAAAATTAGATTTACAACCTTAATTGTACCATGTCAAACCAAAAATCAATAGAAATAATTGAAGATAGCTGCTGCCAACCTAAGCAAATCAAGGTTTCTCGATCAAAATCCATATTATTATAAACACTAGTTAATTCATTTACCAACAAAACTTAACTTATTATGTCAAATGCCTCATATCAAAGCAGAAATTTTAAGCAAATAGCTAGGTTGGCTGCTACCATATCACAATCATTCTAAGTTCTTTCATAGGACCTACAATACACACCCTAACTTACACATTTCCTTGAAAAATGCAGTTGTAGTGTCAATTAATAGTCAAAAATCAGATTTTTCCCAACTTCCAGTCGTGTGACTAGTGTTTCAGGAACCTAGCATTTCTCATTCATGATTCTAACAACCCTTTCTTCAAATGAGCTATTGAATAAGTTAAATAATTGAAGGAAAGTCATATAGAGCTCACCAAGGTATTTGAATGCTGCGAACTTTAACCCCACTACGGCTGTGAAGTCGCAGGTTCTTGGTTTCGCTTGCGCCAGCCGGAACGGGAAGGAGAGAGTGAAGAAGAGAGAATCGAACTTCTTCCTCGACAATACTGAGATCGACGCCGCTGGAAAATCAGGCAGGAGAGGGCTCGACGCCGAACTTCGATCGAAGGGAATTGTCGCGGTTCTCTGCACCTCCTTACGATACACCAGGAGACGAAGAGAGAGGGAGGAAGCGGGACCCGCCTGCGACGTGGAGCGATGGCGAGAGGCGCGGCGTTTGGTCTTCGATTGTCGGATAAGAAGAGGAGGAGGAGAGGAGTCGCGCGCTTGGTTGCTGGCGCAAGGAAGAAGAAGAAAAAAAAAAAGAAAAGAAAAAAAAAAGAGAAAAGAAAAGACGAAGAAAAAGAAAAAAAAAAAAAAAGGAAAAGAAAGAAAAAAATCTTTGAGCTTCTAGACCCTTTCCGGTTCGATTCGAACCGGTTTGGTCTAATTTCAATGTTCGGCTCGACTTGCTTGGTTTTCGAGAATTTTCCAAATTTTTTTGGGGGGGGGTTTTTTAAATGGGTCCAGTTTAGCAATAATAAAATTACTAGCTGGTATGATTTCATTGGTTTTGAAATAAAAAAAATTAGTTGTTAAAATGAAAATTCTACGGAAAAATTAAGATTTTCGGGTCGTTTCATTTAGCAATAATAAAATACTAGCTGGTATGATTTCATTGGTTGAAATAAAAAAAATTAGTTTTTAAATGAAAATTCTACGAAATTAAATTTTCGGGTCGTTTCATAAGAATACCTCAAATTTTGTATTTTTAAAAATAAATAATTAAAATTTTTATTCTTCTAACTCTCTAACTATTATAATGAAACACAATTAATTATTTAACTTTAGAAAAACTTAAAAAAGATTCCTTAATTATTTCAAAATTATTTTATTTTTATTTTTGACTTGAAGTTGAGGAAATCATAAGGAAAGGCCAAGTTTTTTATAGTTCTTAATTTTCAAAGTATCAATAATTATAATTTAAGTTATTATTAACGATTATCATTAATTCTCTTAATTGAATTATAATTTAATGCAATTAGAGATGAAATTAGCAATTTCATTTTATTATGCCAACATGGTTTCATAAGAAGCTATAATGTGTTGACATGAATAACTTTTCAAATATACAGATAGACATCTTATCTTTTTATAATTTTATTATTTTATAAATTAAACACTGCTTATTTGAAAGGGAAAGGAATTATCAATCACGCACATCAGACCATTAATTAATTAATTATTGTCAAATATTTTTTATTAGTGAAGCTGAAAATAGTATCTTGACATTGACAATCAGTTCATGTTGGGTTGGATTTACAGTATATTACGAGGAATTTTCTTCTGCAATTATGACTACGATCTCATTTGTTTAATAATAAATAATATATATTATTTATAGGTAATTAACTATTAATGCATCTGATTTGATAATAATTATAACTTTATCCCTTTAATTTTAACATACAAACTAGTCTATAAAAAATTGCTTAGATCCATATAATAAAGAATCTATAAATTTTGTAAATAAATCAATTGTGCATTCTATTGTTTGATTAAAAAAAAAAATTAATCCTTAGATTTAAAAGATATTTTGAAATAAAATTAAAAGATTTAAATTACATCATTAATAAAAAATAATGAAATGGAATTCATAAAATTTATAATCAGTTGGTAGTCTGATTAGTCTTGAGTACTCTCGACCATATTGTTTAGTTCACAGGTCTATCTAATACTATTAAAGTATTTTAAAAAATATTGAAATTATGTATTAATTTTGAAGTTAAAAATCCAACTAAATTAAATTAATTAAAAAATTAATTAATTATAAATATTGATATTACATTTATTTCTCTACCACATTAGACGAACTAATAAAAAAAGGAATATTGAAATGAATAACACTTTTCTTATTAACATTAAAGTTTTATAAATCATAAAGATATATTTGTGAATTGAATGTTTGCAAGCAAAGAATTCCTTCATTAGAACAAAGAATAAAAAACATGTGTGAAAGTGCAAGATCAGAAAGTCATTGCCTAAGTGTAACTAGAAAATTGAAATTAACCTATTTGACTCAGTTATATACAAGTTGTATTCTTTATAAATAAATAAATAAAAGTTTAATTCGTTTCATATTGTCAAAATTTTTTTTATGAATATTATGATTTCTATTGTATATCATGTTGAAAATGATGTTATTCATATAGATAAAAGATTAATATAATTTCGGCTCGTTTTACCCAAATTTTAGTTTAAAATAATTTTTACATTTTTTAAATAATAAATTTTAAGAATTCAAAATTTAAAAAAAAAATCTTGAAATTGTATTTTTCACGTCCTCTGTCCCTTCTGACCTTTGTCTTTAACAAGTTAAATAGGGAAGATTGATTTTTTGGGCTGGAGAAAACCAAATTCATTTATTTCTAATTGAATTGGTCAAACACAAAATTCAAAATTCATCCAACACAACAACATGAAGAGATATATTTGTTTAATTTAAATAAGCCCATGTGTTCATAACCATTCGCTCAGTGTTATTAAATCCGATCCGACATTTGCTCGGTGTTATTAAATCCAGTCCGGACGTTGATCCAACTAAAGAACTGAGTGGACCCAGCCAAAGCTAAAGAACTGAGTGGATGAGTCAGCTGATTTAACCAGCGGATCATAAAAATATTAATAATATATATTAATTAAATAATATAATATAATAAAAATATCAAAAAGCCAGAATACTGGTTCTCTTCCTTAAATATGGTTCTCTTTCTTTTGAGACCAGTTCATTAGTTCCCTGGGGACCCACCGGGTTTAATAACTATGCATTTGCTATTTCATTGCTAAAAATTTGTTCAGAATTTACTTTTATATTCATGTTCTAGTGAGACCATGTCATTAAAATTTACTTTTCAGGTATCATATGTTCTTTTTTTTTTTTTTCCTTTGTTTACAAAGAGCCGACAGTTTCAATCTCAATGCCAAAACAAGCACAAATCAGTAGGTTCTCACTCATTTATTTATAAACAAAAGAAATCATACTGATATAACCGCAACAGTGTAACCTGAATTCATGTCAAATATGAATTCGGCTCTCCCATGTCTCTCTCTTCTATAGCACAGTAACTAAAGTAATAACTCTTTTCAAACAGTAGTAGAAGCATGAAAATGTAAGTACTATGGGTGTGTGAAAAGCATTATCTTTGCAAGTTCCAGTGCTTTCGGTCGTCCAAACAGCTTCTCAACAATTGCCAACGCAAACTCCATTGAAGTTCCAGGCCCTCTACTAGTAATGAGGTTGCCATCAACCACAACCCTGTTCTCGGTTTCACTTCGATCTGACAGCTTCTCGCACAGCGGAGGAAAAGCTGTGGCTTTTTTACCCTAAATGGCAGTAGAAATGCATTTTGTAAATGAAAATGGCAATTGCATGATGTATAGATAGCTTACCTGGTTTGGAATATTTCAACAATCCAATTACTAAGACAGATTTAGTTTAAGTTCCACTTGGCATCTTGTTGATTTAAAAATTTATCCGGACAGATCGACACTTCATCCTTTTAATTTTATTAAATGATTTATTAACTATCTCTTGAACTCTTTGGCGTCATTGATATAAATTAGAAAAACATCTGACGCACAAGACTAGTATGCTTTTTCACACAAATTATGACCTGTTCATGGTGGGGATGTAATTGAAAAATGAATATATATAAATTTTATACTAAGGTGATGATATAGAAATCAAAACAAACTGTAGGCACCAAATGCGGCCTATCACAACTGATTTACCCTTTTTTTAAACTGACATTCTTGTCTGATTAACCAACCTAAATAATATATCTAAAACTCAATTTAGCAAAAAGTACTGAATATCAGTAGCATTTTTAACATATCAACACAAAGGATAAATAAAATTATTGTATGTATAATACAAATGGTCATTATTAACCAATTAATTAATATGAATTATTTAATTATCCACTTTTAAATAACTTGACATACTGAAGAACAATCCAGACCAAAAAAAGGCCAGTTTTCTTTTTTGGTATATCCAAAAAGTCCATTAATCAGCTACCAGGAACATATGAGTCAAACAGATGATATTCATTATTCAGTATCTTAAAAAAAGTACTGATGCAAGATAGACTGATCTTTGTAAAGATGATACCTTAAGCAAGCCATGAGGCTCCAGGACTAAAGCTGGAGATGCACATATTGCTCCATATGGTCTATTTGATTCCCTCTGTTTCTTTAGCATATTAACCAGCTTTTCTGATTTTGCAAATGCTTGGGCACCACCCAGCCCACCCTAAATAGGGCAAAACACAATTTAGTTAAACATCTTGGTAAAAAAAAAATTAAAATAAAATACAAAAAAAAGGTTACTTACAGGTAAGACAATTAGATCATATGAAAGTTTAGCAGCCTCATCAAGGAGCATATCTGCCTCTAGTTTAACTTTACGAGAAGCCAAAACTTCCAGCTTGTCCTTAACGGAGGCCACAATAACATTTGCCTTAGCTCGTCGTAGAATATCGATTATCATAATAGCTTCCATTTCCTCTGTACCATCAGCAATAGGCACAAGAACCTGAAAAGAAAAGCAGATGCAAAATCATACAACAAAAGCATTTCCCACAAACAACTGAAAAAAATAATGCTAGTCATGATCATTCATTCATAATTGAGAAATAACAAAAGATCGAAGATCAAAGCAAAAGTATGCTACCAAAAATAGATAACCTTATCAACTTTGCCCAAGTCATGGAACTAGTCCACTCAAGACTAATCGTATGCTACAGTACTACTGACTACTTTAACAAGTCCACATAGCTAACAGATAAAATGATTAGTTTTTTCATTTAAAATTACAATATTATTCCAACAAGTGATTTTCCACCTCATGTCAGATCCTATACTGTTCCCCACAAACTGAAAAACCATAAACACATTGCTACGGAATGCTGTTTAGTTGACATATATCTCTTTAAACAGCCTCACTCAGTCCTTCTCTTTATAAGAATAAATTACAGAAAAGTTGGATGTTGGATCCATAAACAGGCTTGGGTTGCATAACCATAGATGTTATTTTGCATGTGCCCCCCTACACTCTCCAACTTCATAATCTACATCTCACTGCAGCTAATCATGCTTCACAAATCTTTAAAACCTAACATCACATTTGATCTTTCCTTTATCTTGTAATCACACATTAATATCTTTTGATAAATGGAAAAAATAAGTTGAGAGAGAAGAATGAACACAGTGATAGAATCTTTTTCTCTTTTCCTTTTTTTTAAACGAGGCTGGTTGGTTGATATTAAGGAAGCAGGAGAAAGAACAAAAAGAAAAAGAGCAACATCTGAATCTCACCTGAGGAATATTATCAAAGGTCCACTCAACTGGATTTAGCTCCTTTATGGTATATTCATCCCCATGGTTGGTACGCATCAGCTGCATACAGAATAATAGTAAATATGTACTTGGTGAGTAAATCCTCAACAAAAATATGTTATAGCATAAATTAATATTTGAAGCTGCTTAAGAAAGAAATTTGAGTTACATGTTTTCTTGTAGAGTGAGCATTTTCACATATTCAAAAATATTGTGCATTTTGGCTGTACGAAGTAATGTTTTTAACAGCTTTAAGTAAACATAAATATAAGATGGTAGACGACTCAGTTAATCCTTAATCCCAACTAGCTGGGTCAGTTACAACGATATTGCATTCCACCCACCCTATGGTACCTCTTCTTGGAAGATCTAGGGCTGTTTAAGTCTATTTAGCTACTTCCCTCCATGTCACTTTAGACCTGCCCCTCCCTCTCTTATCTCATACCACTTCAACGAGCTTCACCTTTCATCCTGGAGCATTTGCTGTTCTATATTGGATGTGGCTACCTCTTTTCTCTTAGTTTTCCTCAGTAATTGCCATCACCACCTTCTTACAAATGTATTATTAGCCAAAGCTACTATCTATGACAAACAACAACTAAGCTTAGTCCCAATGTAAGTAAAATTCAATCTAAAATTCAGTGGATCTACATCATGTTTCTCAGTCCAAAATCACTTAAAACTCAAAATCAGGGAACTCAATCTAAACAATATTAATAGTTTGACAAGTAAACACAAATTACTGTTAAACAACACTAGCTAGCATGGCCTGTGTTCACCATCTCGAACAGCTACACAACTTTCTAAAGTTGGCTAATGAATAGTTAACAATGATAAGTAAACCACTCTACAAAGATAGATACAACTTTTTGGAAAAATCCAATAATAGAAGAATATATAAACTTCCTCATCTAAATTCTGAACTCAATATCATTGACTCCAGACCTGGAAAGAATGAGTATCCTTGTGCAAACCAGCATCACATTTCAAATACAGAAAAGATTTCGAAGGTGTCTGGATGCTGCATTCAGGCAATCCTACTCACAGTCATTGAACGGTTGAAGATAGTGCTCAAGGTTACCATCACAAACAACCTAAGGGAAGCTCATAGGCAGGTCTTCAAACCAACATGCAAAAGAACATTGGCAAGTGCTTCGTGAATTCTAGCACATGACCTTTAGGTCTTCATCAAGTAAGAACTGAACAGAATCTCAAGAGTAATACTTTCTCATCAGTCCTTAAAAAGTTCGTCTAATTACTCCAGTACCTTTTGATGAGCATACTAGTTTTTCTTTAGTATTTGTGGTGAACATCTTTAACAATTATTGATATAGAACAAAATCTAATCCATTATTGTAGCTTAAATTGATTTAGTCAAGTATATAGAGAAATTGAGGGAAAAGTAGACACCAGAGGACCAGAAACTTCATTAGCCTTCTCTTTCCCATACAATTGCTCAACCAGCGCAACAGCAAACTCCATGGTAGTGCCAGGTCCGCGACTTGTGACAACTACGCCGTCCTGTTGCACCCTTGATTCAACAGCCGTCGCAGAAGATTGCAACTGCTCCATAAATGATGGGTAACAAGTTGCCTGTCAAAAACAATAACACCATGACAACTTAAGTGTCATCATCATCAACAACAACAACAAAAGCATAAATTAGACGACGATATTAAATGGCTATCTCTGCTTACCTTTAATCCCTTTAGCACACCCCATGAGCCAAGAGCCACTGCAGGAGAAGCACAAACCGCTGCATAAAGCCGGCCATCTGCAGCCTGCTTCTTCACCATGCTTTCCAAGGCGCCAGAATTTTTAAGGTTGGTAGCGCCCGGCATGCCTCCCTACAAACATAATAGTGAAACCTCAAGTTAACATTAATAATTGAAAGAAATACAGCTAGAAAAGGCAGGGGAAAAAAAAAATACATGCAGCAAAAGTAGCACTAGTTAAAGTTATGGAATCACTTCAACATGACAAGGGTGATATAAAACTTCAAATTTCCAACTACTTGATGTATTTGTAACACACATGGAAATCAAATAATTGCACGTATTTAACAGTTTATAAGTCGCTTTCTGCAAAAACTTGTTATGGAAATATGGAAGATACATTTTCTGAAAGTTTAACAATAAAAGTTCTATTTTACTTTATTGGTAGCTCCAAATTGAATTTCACATTTCAATAGAACAATCAAAATTTGAGATACAACCAGTTTAACCATAGGCGTAGTAGGAAAACTTTGAACATTTCATTTGCCTTAAAATTTCTCATTCACCACAAATAGTATAGACAAAGCACCACATAGTCACAAGACCCCCATTAACCAGCTCACTAGAACTTCTACAATTCATTAACAATATAAGTGAAAACCAATAACACAGATATTCTACTAAATTGAGAAACAAATTTGAAAAAAATTCAAAAATAGAGCATCAACAAGTTTTATACTCTAATTGTTTGACTATTAAACATTCTCTTTTTCATTAAGCTTAACAAGCCATAGTCACAAGCATGAACCATCTATCAGTGAGTTTAACAATGCGAGATAAAGCGAGAGACACTTACAGGGAGAGAAATAAGATCAAAAACGGCGTCCGAGCAATCAGAAATGAGAGAATCGGCGATGATCTTAACGCCGTGGCCAGCCTCAACACGAAGCTGCTTCTCAACAGAAGCTACAGTAACGTCAGCGCTGGCTCTCCTTAACACATCGATAGTTATCACCGCCTCCATCGGCTCCGTTCCATTCGCGACCGGCACCAAAACCTAACAAAGACCACAAAACGCCTCATAACAAAATTTTACATTGAAGTTGTCGTTTTGGACAAATTAAAGTGTCGTTTGTTCTAAGGTTACCTTCTTATTAGAGGAAGCCATTGTACCTGTAACTTTGACAGAGAAGGAGAAGCGAGACTTGGAAGCAGGGAGTTTTGAAGACAACAGAGAAGAGTGAAGGAGAGATTGAGGGGTTACGTGGCGCATTAATGCCATTTTCGTTTTTTTTTTTATTAATTATATTTTTAAAAGTGGTAACAAATCCGGCTTTTCCAGAGCAACGATGAGTGCTGTTTCAGTGTGGCTAGCTAGAGCTAGCTTAGCGTGCGGATATGGCGGAGATGATTGAGATGTGTTGCTGTGATATTAACACGTCATCGAATAATTTTTTTGATTAATATATTGATTTGTCCAATTTGTTTTTTTATCTGGAACAAGGTTAAATTTGCCCTTCGACTTGGGACCAAAATACAACTTATCCATTTTTGACCTTCTTTTTAACATTAAACCCGCGAGTTTGGCACATAATAGAATTCTCTCTTTTTTTTTAGCTTGGTTTAGTGCGTGAACAACACGCTTTCTAGCCTCTTTAAAAAATTTAATGTGCAACGGCTGTATATCAAAGAGGGGCTAAAATCCTAAAGAGCAAAAATCTCCAAATCGTCTCTTGAGTGAAATCGACAAAGCATAAGTTTCAGCAACCACTGTTCAACATCCTTACCATTTAAAAACCATGGTACGGCTAGACTTAAATACGTTTAGGAGGTTTAATAAAATACTGTAAATTCAAAAGTCAAATTCAACCTTATTCCTTTCTAATTATATAAATATTAATTATTTAAAAATTTAAACACAATTGTACGTTGTAATGAAATTTTTTTAAAAAATTATTATATTTTTATTGATCATTTTTCACATCAACAACCTCATCGCTTGCTAACAAAATCTGAGGCATGCAACAAGTAGATTGTACACGAATTATAAAAATAAATATAAAGTTAATGTGGATTCTTAATGTGATTTTGGATTCATAGATATTCATTTCACTAGCTGTGCAATAAATGCAAATTTGAGCATTGATTCATTATATTTCAATTCAACTATAATTACAAGAAATGTAAATGGATAATGCTTTGAAAAGATAAAGATAAGACTTGGAAAATAAACTACATCATTGATTGATTAACTTGTTAGCGAGTTAATTTGTTTGGTTGAATTTGTCGATGAATAGATTGGGTAGTTTGTTTCTTCTTGTTCATCTTGCTTCTTTTTTATAGTTTATTTGGTAATTGACGGTTAATATTATCCTCCACTTTTTTTTTTTTTTTTTTTTGTGAATTTGTCGATTGAATAGATTGGTTAGTTTGTTTCTTCTTGTTCATCCTTGCTGTCTTTTTTATAGTTTATTGGTAATTGCGGTTAATATTATCTCCCACTTTTTTTTTTTTTTTTTTTGAAAGTAATATTTATCATCCCACTGGTATTTTTTTTTTTTTTTTTTGAAAGTAATATTATCATCCACTTGGTAAACCAGCTCTTCCATTTCAGCAGTTCTGTACATGTTTAAGTTATGCTCCATTGCCTTAATTTACAATTAAATTACAGCTTTAAGCTCATGTTTAATTTACGAAGCCCACATCAAAAACCATAAAATGGGTTAAATAATTACTCCTATGTTAACTTCGCCATCGGATAATGCTTAATATGTTAGTTCATTTTGGAGAGCCAACGCTCATAAAAATTTTTAAAAATTTGAAATTAAAAAAAATATCATCAACAATCTTCCCTTTCTAAACTCTCAAAACTCATAGAAACTTTACACTACCCAACAACAAAATTATTTTTTAAAAATCTTACCTTTGTCTCTTTTGTCCATCAATATCAACAATCAAAAATACAAAACCACCATCTGTACTCTTCCTTATTGGGGGCTGCTTTTCTGATTATATACAGGAAGACACATCCATATTCCTCATATAAAACAATATGAGAAATGAAAAGAATATTATATTCTCCATTGCCACTTAGGAGATATAATGAATTAATTATATCTCATATGAACCTTCCTGCTTTGATTTTGGTCACTGTTCTTAAGTTTATGGAATGAATGAATTGATCATGGAATAGGTGTACAAGTCATGTTCGAAAAAGCTTGGGATCTACTGTTTTAACTCTACAGCACATTAAGGTTTTTGATTAATTATCACAACTTTTTCATCATCTTTGTAGGGCCAATATCAATTATTCTTCTAGATATTTATGCTTTGACAAGCTTATTGATTGTTGGAGATACAAATTGAGCCTAGTTCCCTTCTCCCTTTGGTCATTTAACTCTTACTATTTGGCATATAAGAGTATGTATTTTCTAACACTCATAAAATCCACAAATCATCATAAGTCAGCCACATCAATTGCAGTTCAAATCAGTATCAAACTGGCTAAGAATCGAAACTAAATGGAAAGTCAAAGGTGGCCTTTCTCCACTTAATCATACTTCTAGAGCTTTCTAATGGAATATTGCACACTAAAATCCAACTTAAATTGAGCCTGGACAAAGTAAAGAAAATCAGAACAAAAGATTAAAAATCGAGTCGCAGTTGGACAAGACCAAGCCATGTTGACCATACAAGGGGCTACAGTTATCACAATTCAAAAAGACAAATGTATTATTCGCTCTGTGAAAACAATTAAACGTTGATTAAGAGTTTGAGTGTGCAAGTATTGAAGTCCACCAACAACCCAAGTAAATTATAAATCTATAATTCAAGTCTATAGTCTGTAAAAATAAAATATAGTGTAAACAAGTATGTTATCACTCAATAAGTTTAGCTATTGGATTTCTTCTCCTCCTATTCATAAATTTAGGAAAACAATATTCAAAGACTAAAACAAACTATAGAACTGAATGATTTTGATTCTAGATCTGATTATTGCTATGAGGGATAAGACGTGTAGATTTAGAGATTCATCCCTAAATTGCCAACCAAATTAACTAAAAAATATATATTTTCCCCTTCACACCTTCTATTTTCCTTTTTCTTTTATTGTTACTTTTGAAAGATGTGTGATCATCCTAGAATCCCCAAAAGGAGCTAAAGTTGATATTTTCTAATTTGATTTAATTAATTATTTATTGATTTGTTCATAAATCTTTCATATCGCATATGCATTAATTATATTAAATTGTTCACTCGAAATTATTTTCATCAAATCATGCTTTAATCTTCAGTCAAACAATTATTACTCTAAAATAAAATTCAGTCCCTAAATTACTCCTTGGTTTCGAGTTTTAATGCATGTTTTTCAATTGGACAATTAATTTGAGTCATGATTGAGATTTTTCCGAAGGTTTTCTTTAAAAATTAAACTAAAGGTGACAACTCTTTTCTTTAAAATAAATATAGATTAAATAGGCTTTTCTCGTTAAATTCAAGTCCAAATGAGTGTTTTGATCCCTTTAATGGATTGGATGAGGTGCTCGGATGGGGCCTCACACCATCAAATATGGACAAAGTACTAGTTCATTAGACTATATGTTGTTCCTTTGGATTTTATTATGCAAGTTTATCTTCTATTTGGCTCATGCACCTGCTTTCGGCCGATACTATTACCCTAGAAACTATACTTATGGATTCAATTTCCACTACATGCACAAGTTAATTACCACTCTGCCTTTTACTAAATGGAAAGGTAGTATGTGGATAGTATGGCTTTGAGAAAATTTCACTTTGTCGCTAGTTAATAGTGTGTTTAGTAGCATATTGTGGTTAATTTTATTTTTATTTTTTACCAAAGGACGCCATTTCTATTTTTTTTGTAACCTTAGATACCTTAGCAGTCTCTAGTTTATCTCATTTAATTAATAAGTTAGCAGTGACCAACCTCCCATCATGGTTAAATAATAGACAACAATTTACTATGGAGGAAGCATTGAGACATTGGGTTTCTCTACTATTGAGCTGTTTTTACATGTGAATGTGTCCTTTAACGTGAACTTTTCTAGTGTTGCTACTTTTGAGGCTTATGTTCCCAACCTGTGGTAGCAAGCAATGTTGAATGATATAGAATATTCCTGAGTTGGGAAAGTTTATGACCTCCATTTCGTTTTATAAAAAGTGTTAGTCCTCTACTTACGTGCGTAATGTGTCAAAATCATAAAGGCAGAGTTCAAAGAAATTATTTAACTCTACTGAAGACCCATGCATTGCATAACTTACCTTTCAAAGTTAGTAGACCGCTCTTCACACTAGTGTTATGGTTAAACCATTTGATTTCGCAGTTATATTGTTTACCCTTTTGAACTCCTATATTCCCAATCTACTTTCTGATCTCTTATTTGCTTTTGCAGATTTTCTTCTCCTTCGGCAATTTGGATCCACCAAGCAAGAATAGAAACATGACTTCCTAACAAAAGAGATATGTGCCAAAGATATAGACTCCCTGGAAAAAGTAAAGAAAAAGGCACCAACATAGACCAAAAAACACTTGCATCTAAGCGTTCTGTGTAAGTAGCCAACAAACTAAAGCCCTCATAAAGATTAGTCTGATAAGCTTAAGGCATATACAGATGACTCAGAGGCACAAAATCTCCACCGTAATATAGAATTTACAAATACATACTGTTAAACTGTCAAAAATTGAGTTGTGAGTAAATTGTGAATTAGCCTTTGTAGGCTTAATTGAGTGACTCTTCAGTACCTCGCCTTACTTATATAAAGCTCTCTCCTATCTCATTTGCTTCACTTTGTGTTTCTTGATTGTCAGAGCATCTCTCTCTAACTTATCCAAGTAAATTTTTACGTTTTATCTCTTTCTTCTTTTTTCCTTTTTCGTTGGTTAGGACTATGAGTTCTTCTAGTGATAAGGATATTCAAGTATCACTTGATCAATCCGGTGATGAGAACATCGAAAATATAGACTTGGGGGTGGGCGAGGCCAAAGGTAAAAAGGAGAATGTTACGATCACCGACATACCTTCTAACATTGATGAGGGCGAGCTACTGGACATATGTTTTATGTATAGTATTGTGCCATAATACAAATTGATTAGACCTTTAGAAACTATAAGGGTAATCAAGCTATTGGATGAAGACTCTATCATGGTGTATGAGGAACGCTTCCGATCTGGGGTTCAATTTCCTTTGTCCGAGCCTCTGAGATCATTTTTTTAATGATTACAACATCAATATTATATAGTCAGTTACACCCTAATGGTTTAAGACTCTTATGTGGTCTGATAGCATTGGCTAGCAAAG